TCTAGAAGTTGATCAGTGTTGTTTAGGACAGAGGTGACACATCAGTTAATACTGACCAGTATTGGTGACCCAATATTTAATTTAGAGCTAAGAGGACAAAGCATTGACATTAAAATTCCTCAGCAACAAACTCCATCTAGACACCCACCATAGGGAGAGTAGTCATCCAGGCCCTAGTCAGAGTAACAGGATCTTGCAGCACACTGATATTTAGCTGCCCTGTCATCCCTCACCAGGTGTTGAGGTTGTGTGCCAGACTGCAACAAGGTAGAGGTCTCGAGCCATTGCTGTTTCCTGAGACTAGCAAATTTACAGTAAGGATGGGAACAGAATATGCACAAGCACATAATTCTTCATATGGATTGATTTTTATCCTTTTTTTTACTTCTGCTTTTTGTACTGCGACATAAAGTCATATATAAACTGGAGTTTGGTGAGCAACAGGTGGTGACTTTAGTGGTGCAGCTACCCATAAACTGGCCAACAAGTCATTCTTTGCTCTGTTAGTGTTGTCCCAGTTTGAACACAGGTGTTTCTTTTATCTTTTTCCCTGAAAAAAATGTTTTTAAATGTATTGAGTACAGGGTCTCACTACACAGATTGGACTTGTGATCCTCCGGTTTTCAGCCTCCCAAGTTCTACGATTATAGGCATGCAGCACCACACTCAGTCTCAATTGGTCTTAAAATAGAAAGACAAAGGCTGGGGAGGTAGCTAAAGGGCTTAAGTGCCTGCCTGGCAAGCCCAAGGTCCTGAGTTCAATCAGGACCGGAAAAAAAAAGACAAAGATTCAAAGAGATGAGATTGTCCTCTGACATCGCTGGCTTTGCATAAGGAGTAATGGGGACATGAGCCAAGGAATATAGGTGACCTCTAGAAAACAGTAAGGAAATGGCCTCTCCTCTCCTAGCATCCCCAAACAGTAAGAAAATTAATGCTCTGATTGTAGTGAAGAGCCATTTCAGATTTACAGCCCCCAGAATTATAAGATTTCTCCAGGGTTGAAGATGACAGTGTTTAAATTTACCTGAGCCCTGTGTCACTAGAAAATCACAACAATTAAGAAATCTTCCTGCACTTTTGTATTCAAAGGAAGAAATGACTTATTCCAAAAGCACATGCTTTCCTATGACTTGTGCATGACTGCTCATTTACCTATGGCAAGGCCGGACATAGACCCTCTATATTCCTCCTCTTCCTCACAGATTTTTAAGTTAAGCTAAATTGGTATCCACTGACCAATGTGGACAAAATGCCAATAAATTTGACCTGACCAAATTTTAGTGTGCCCTCCTCCAGGATCCTGGACTTTGGCCCATTCTCAGAGACTAAATATCACAGTGTAGAACAGTTCCTCCTTAAAGACCCTTCCAGAACACCAGCTGACTGCAAGATGTCCTTGATCCACTGTCCCCTTCCACCACATGCTTGTGCCACTCCTCTACATCTGGTCCCTTCTGGACTTATTCCTCCTTTCAAACAAAAGCCCAACATTCCACCTGACTTTTGAAATGCTTGCAGATCCTTTTCTTAGCAGGTTCTACATATTGCATTGGTTCCTTCCTTAGCTGCAGCCTGGGTTGGTTTGTTTTTCCCATCACACTAATGTGTCTCAGCAATCTGATTTCTCTTTGGTAATCTGGAGCAGATGTTCCAGTCAGTAGATTAGCCCCTCCTTTTGTTAGTTTGTTCTTTGGCTCAAGGGCACCAAAATACCCAGTGGCACTTTTACCCTCTAGTTCAGTGGAACCATTGCTGTAGCTCCTAGCTGAAGCATTTTCACTTTCATGTATACTACCTAGGAACCAGCAGAGTTCAAGTTCCTGTAATGAAAAGTTTAAGAAGAAAGATGTTACCTCTACCTTTTGATTTCTTAACCCATATATGCTGGAAAGGGGGAGGCAGAACTACATTATGGTCTCTGTATACAAACTACCCTTGTGATACTTAGTCCCAATCCAATTAGAGTGTTTTCTTCCAATTGACACTTTCTCCATTAAACCATTCCACTTTTCAGGTGGACCAGATGTTTCTGGATAATGGGATATGTCATAATATCAATTGTAACTACAGCTATGAAGCTACTGTTGCACTATCTGTGCTGTGACATGAGTTCCCTGGTAAAATGCAAGGCTAAGGACCAGTAAGATAGCTCAGCAGAATAAGTGCCTGTTTTGGCAAGCACAGGGATGAGGGTTCAATCCCCGGTCCTGCAAGCTGTGCCTCTTCCCCGCCCCTAGGGGCGCACTGAGCCGGCGATCAAGTCCAGGCATGGTGGTGCATGCCTATAATCCCAGCGCTGTGGAGGCTGAAAATAAGATCACTACAAGTCCGAGCTGTGTAGTGAGACCCTATATCAAATACATAAATGGAACAAAAAAGATGCAAGGCTATATGGAGTGCTGTGATAGCAAATTAGGCACCCTGGGAGTCCATGGGCATTGATGCTAGGGGCAGCATTACCCATAGGAGAAAACAAACTTCTATTTCCAAACCTGTGTTATTTTAGGGAGGACAAATACTTGCTCTTGTCATTGTGAAAGAGGTACAATGGAATCAGTCACTTTCAGATGACTGCCTGGTCCCCCTGAAGAATGGGGCCATACCCAAGTCTCAGGGTTCATCTCCACCATCAGCAGGTTAGGCACTTAGCAGTAGATAGCTGTAGCCAGTTAGCCACCACGACAGGAAACTCATGCTGTTTTACCTATGCATAGCCTTCATCCCTGCCACTGTAGCCACTGTTCATGAGCAAGCTATGAAGTGGCAGGAGGAAGAAGCTGACGAATTCACAGCCTCATTTTGTGTCTACACAGTTTGTACCCATTCTGAATCATCTACCTACATACTTCTTCCCCACTGTCTTCGTATTTACAATGCTGACCCACTCCACAGCGCTAGCTGCCAGAAAAGCAGGGTGCCTTTCTCTTGCAATGTCCCAACAGTGCCCTCTACTGGTAGAACTCGACACTGCGCACATAGTAAAAGATGCATAAATGAATTTGGGCTGTGATGGATGAATTTGGAGGGATGAGACAAATGATGACTGTTACAGCCTCGTTGCTTCAATATCTTCATAACTTTGCTTATTTATGTTTCAATTCCATCGGACTGTTGCACTAGTAAATTTATGAATTTTAGTTTTCTGACCCTTGGGGAACAGCTCAAAAGGCATATTCGCCAAACCTGGATCCAACCATAACATGGAAAACTTGATATTTGTATGTTTTCAGCAGCATAGTCCTGTAATACTTGAAAGTGCATATCTCCCCTCATTACATTGCCTAAAATCTTTTGCCTCTCTCCTTATTCTAGTCCATAGGATACTTTACCTAAAATTGTTAAATACAAGCTATACATTTATGTTACAGCCATGAGTACTCCCAAAGTGATTAAGATAGTTCATCAGAAAACGTAAGGCGATAAGACTCCATTGATGGAAAAAAGACATTAAGAGCTTTCATTCTGACCTGCCACCTCCCTTTCCTCACAGTATTTTTGTGATGTAGAAAAAAATCAACCAATTTGAATTAGGAAAGAATGGTGATGAAAGGACTGGCAACTGTCCAGTTGCAACAACTTCTGTTCCTGAGATTTTACTGCTGCTATAGGACCCTTGCCATCATCCAGTCAAGCAGCTTCTGAGATGTTCTAGGCCTTCAGTGTGACCTCTGTTGCGTGGAGATTATCCTTGTATGTATTTGGTATCCTTTTATCAGTGTATTCTCAAGAGAGTCGGGATCCAGAATATCCATGGAATTCCCAATTCAGCATGGGCCTCTGTGTGATTCTAAGGCAGTTCGTTTCCCACTTTGCTTAATAAGAAAGTGCAGTCTCAGTGTTCTTCAGCCTCTCTGTATGCAATAGCCTGGGTTAGTACAGAGTAGATTACTTTTCCTTTCTATTGACTCCTCTCATCTTCCATCACTCCCCTCTGTGTCTGCTCCCCTCATTGAGGCTCTAGTGCCTCTCTGTTTATTAGCACCATCCATTTAGTAGGACTCCGAAGACTGCCTTTCCTCAAAATAGCACATTTTAAAAATGCCTCTTTTCACCTGTGCATCTTTCTCTTTCCCCTCTTAACTTTTCCTTCTATCACATGAACATTTCCCTTTTCTCAGCGGGCTAGTCCTCCCCAAATGTTGGAATGATAGCAATTACACTGTCAAGGTGAGTACTTACTGAAGTTCCACTCCCTACTCACTGGCGCCCTGTGGTAAAGAAACTAGGAATTGGATTCTGAAAATCACACCTCAGTCAGAATGATAAACCATATTTCATTTAGTCATATGGGCCACAGAGTTTTACTATCATGGCCACATTTTTCCCCTTGGGACCATGTTAATAATTCTGAGGATGAAGTTGGAGTTTTTCAGAAAGAAGTAGTGGAGAAAGAAAGTTTGCTAAGCAGACACTAGCCTTCAGTAATAATCATGAGCATTATTGAAAATGATTATCTTCTCTATGGAATTTTCAATTTTCTCTTTTAGAAGCTCCTAATTTTCTTTTTGCCCTTTTCATTTTACAAGCAATTATCTGTAAGTGCAACTGAAGTGCCAGGGATCTGAGTTGTTATTCTTAAAATTGAAAACTATGAAGTCTAAGGAATAGCTGTAAAAATTGATAGTACTTTTCAGATGCTGTCTCTGTGGGCTTGTGATTTCCACAAAGAAGGGAAACAAGCTTGTTTTCATCAGAAACTACCACATTAACCATTTTTTTAAGTCAGAGTCCAACAGTCACCAAGGAAAGCATACACTGTGTGTAGCTACCTCAAATTGGCTGAGGTTGTACTGAGGAGAGTCATAAAATATTTCCACTCCTATGATGGATATATTCTGCAGTTATTGAAAAAGCTACTTAATCTTGGAGCCCCAGTTTCCTAATCAGCAAAACATGCAAAAATAATTTCCTTATCACTAGATGATTTGGGGTATTAAATGAGATAACGTTTGTGAAAATGCTATGCATATTGTTAGATTTTAAACATATTAAAGAAAGTACTCAATTTAGCAGCCTATATACTAAAATTGGAATGATACAGAGAAGATTAGCATGGTCCCTGCTCAAGAATAACATACAAATTCATGACATGTTTCATTTTTTCACATTAAGAGATAAGTCTTGGAAGTCCCTTATATTTCCACCAACAGATGAATTCACAAAGAAAATATAGTTTATGTAAACACCATCGAGTACTAGTTGGTTATAAAGAAGGATACTTTTGAGTCATTTGTAAGCAAATGGAGGGCCAAGGAGATAGCTCAGTGGCATAAGTACCTGCCTGAAAAGTGCAAGGTCCTGAGTTCAATCACTGACTGCAAAATAGAAAAGAGGAAAAGAAAAAATAAACAATGTGAGCATAAGTGAAATAAATTAGGAACACAAGCATAAATATCATATAGTATCTGAGTGTATAAATAATTAAAAGAGCAAAATAATAGGTACATAATATGAAATAAGGAGATAGATTCTTTACAAGTGGAAAGCAGAGCTAGAGATGGAGTGAAGGGGAGGGAGAGAATGGGGTAGGAAGTAAAGAGAATTGAGATGTGTTATGTACATGTACCAATCTCCCCCAGTGAATGCAGTCATTAAGTATAGCAAACATATACTAATAAACATATAAAAGAGTTAAACAAGGGGACACTGGAAATTAGGATTACATGATAGTTTCAAAACCAAATAGAGGCATATGGAACAACCCAGTAATATGAAACATGTGACTTCCCAAATTGTAGCTTAGATTGTAAAGCACTTGATCGTTGAGGAAAGGCAGGGGAAAAATTAATATTGTCCACTTTGGTAAATAATTACCACCTCTAGAACCCCCATGCCCTTCTCCTGTCTGTGCCACACCGACCTTGCTGCTATTTTTCCACAGGATCATAGGCACCTTCTAAGAAGAAAGTTGGTAAACACTGGAGGTCAGGTTTTCTTTTTTGCCTTTTGGAAAGCTGGTTGTTAAACACTTACCAGCATATACATATCCCTTTTGACTACTTAGAGAGATGCTAGCTCTCTTCCTAAGCCAGGTAGAAGTGTATTTGGCAGCTAGCAATGGAAAACCTAACAGCACACTAGTGTAAACACGTCTGTCTCACTGAAGGTATGATTAGGAATTATCCTATCTGTACCACAGTAACCTGACCCTATCATGGGGAGTCATTCTGTTCACCATGCCTTCGTACACTAGCTTGATGGTTCCTTCTTTCTACATCTGTATTTTGTCTCCAAAGAACAGTTTCCATGTGCTACCAGTAGCTGCAGGCTGTCCTGACAAATGTGTGTTTAGCTTTTCAAATTCTGCAGAAGAGAGATGAATGCGATTGGATCTTGCTCAAAATTCATTTATGGTTATTTGTCCTTGAGTATTAGCAAGATTTGGAGTCAGTACAAAGAGTGAGCTACACTGTGAAATGGACATAATCTTTTATTTTGTTTCTTCTAGAAATAATTGTGGCCCCAAATTTGTATCATGAAACCTGCCTTCATTTCTTCTAATTCAAAAATCTAAGTTACTGTTCCTGTGTTGTATTGTGTTAGCAGCAGGTGAGATTTTCTTTTTTCTTTTTTTTGTCAATCATATTTTACTAGTTCACTTGCTTTTTATTACTTAGACTTAGGACAACAGCATATGGCTAATACATAGAAATCAAGTATTGTTGTATCAATTAATTTTTAAATCAACATTTTTTTTCTAAAATGACAAATTATTTTGTTTCAGATTAAAGGATCAAATAATATTTTTGACTACCACATATTATTGATATAGCAATTAGTCTACTGCTTTTTTATGTGTTTAGTACAGGGTCTTACTACACAGATCAGACTTGTAGTGATCGTCCTGTTTTCAGCCTCCAAAACAGCAGGTGAGATATTCTTACACGATTAGGGATGTAAGCCTTTATAGAAGACATCACAGCTACTAGAGCTTCTTGTGCCTCTCATGTTCAGATGTATTCATAACCTTTTATGAGCCCCTTGGTCTGATGTCTCTTCTCACAATTCAAGTGTCTTTATATCCTAACATCTGCAGACCTGTGGCCACATGAGTTTAGTGACAACCAGGCTTCCAATACCTCTGACCTTTTCTCTCTGAGTCAACTTTTCAATGAACAGTGTGTGGCATTGGTTTGATTTCCTGCTCTCCTGAGAAAAGTGAATGTGGTAAAGCACTTACTGTTCCTGACAGCCCGTGTCTGAGGTTGCTCTCTGCGACAGATTTCAATTGATAAACTTCTCATAGAAAAGTTCAAACACATGAAGGTTGCAAAGTAACAGAAGAAAGGCCCATGTGCCCATCATTTATTTTTAACAATTATCACCACGTGATTGGTAGGGTTTGTTCTCTACATCCTCCCTCATCTTGTCTCCATGACATTATTTTGGAGGAGGATTATTTTTTTGTTTTGTTTTGGGTGCCAAGTACTGAAACCATGAGATTATTGTGAAGCAAATTCCAGACATCATAACATTTCACTTGAACATGTTTGAATCTGTATCTGAGCTTGCATTTTAGAAGAAGCCACTGAGATCTTTATGAGAGACTTTCATTAAATATGCAATTTAATGTGAGTAGCTGTTTAGGGCAAAAATGTTTTTCCTTCTTTGTCGGGGTAGAATGAGTGGAGCTATACAAAGAAGAATGTCAACATGATCTGCCTGTAATGTATTATAAAGGACATAGTCCTTTCTTTATATCACATACATTTGTCATTTCATCTTTATTATAAATTCCTAAAAGGAAGGAGAGTGCTTATCTTATTCACATTGTATTTTGAGATTTACAAGAAAGGTTGCTTTTCAGGAACTTCTGGACTGTGCTAGTTTTTGTTTATTCAGTTTTTAGATGGTGCCAGCCTCATATACATGCTTTAGCCTCAGTTCTCTGTTATATACCAATTTCAAAATGTGTTTATTTCTGGGCTTCAGTATTGGAAAATGAACTGCTAGTTTGGGGCCCTTATTTATAATTCTAACTCTGTGCTCTGTTTGTTTATTAGACTATCCTAAGATTGGTACCTTGTAATAAGTTGCCTTCTTTATGAAGGAAAAAAATCAATACATTGTTAGTGGTGTTTTCCAGATGAAATGAATTAGATTAAGCTAGCCTTTAACTTCTTAAAAAGTTTATTTCTGAGCAATAAATGGGGGGCACAAGACGCCCCACAAACAGGGTGCTTTTTTCACCAGATGAAACAGCTCCAGCCAAAGTTGCTTTGTTCCCTATGACCTAATCCATAACTGAAGTGTGTGCTGATGATGTCTAACATTTGCCTCCCTTCCAGGCAACTCATGATAAAGTAGGCTAATGGTAAAGTAAAGTATCTTATGCTACTGAGCGTTAGGATCATACTTCATATTTTGCAAAGTGCTTTTTCATTATTTATTACTCACAACCTACCTATGAGATCTCCTGGCTGTCTTATCTCCCATATTGTGGCTGAAATATGACTAAGCTATGTTCATAAATGCTTCAGGAAGCTGAAATGAATATAGGTACTTGCTGACATACAAACACACAGCATTCAAAATGGTCAGCCTATCCTGCCCTTGGGAATGGGGGATGCAGCTCCCCCCTCAAAAGTGGGAAGTTAGACCATTTTGCAGTGTGTACAAGTGGTCTCTGGGACTGCAGGAATGGGAATCACGAATGAGCTTGGCAAATGAAGATGATTATACTCTACTGCTGTTTAAGACAGGATTCATATTTCCATAAACACATTGCTGTACTTAGGTTATATGCTCAGATGAGTCACCAGTGTCCAAGTAACCCACGATGCAGTTTTTCTTGCATTTAGCTAGGGTATGTATGGCTTTTGTGATATGTTTGGTGTGTGTTACACTACTTGCGAAATTGGAAATCTTGGATTCATGTCCCATGAAAACTGCCCACTTGAGGAAATGACCTTTGCAGCATGCATGCCTGCATGAAAGAATTTTCTGTTTGGAAGCAGCTTCCTTTTTCTTCTCTGGGAGCTGTCATACTGACACTGGGTCACGTTCTCAAGAGAAGTTTCTGTAACATGACTGTGTTTAGGAATAGTCTTATTTGGACAACACAGGAAAGGGTAGGTGACCTTCATCTACTTTGTGGATGCTAGGGTGATCAGAAATGGGAAGTAGAGTTTTCTTTAGAACTACGTTGTGCTTGGTACTGAGTTTGCTACCAACTCAACAGACCTAGGTTGCCATGGCTTCAGACAGCTTTATAGTGCACGTGGTGTTTCTTTCATTGGTCCAGCATTTCTTACTGGTTGGTACACACAGATCAGTGCAACCAAACTGAAACATAAAGCTAGGCCAACAACAGGGTGATTAAAATGCCTATTTACATTGTATATGCAATATGTGTACATAAATATGAATTATCTGGTGATTTGGCCAAGGTGAAATCTAGGTCAATTTTGTTCAGTCTCAGAAACGAAAAATATTTTCTGCCAAAAGAGTCTTATCTAAACAGAGAAAAGGATCTTTACTATTTCTTCCTAATAATGTTACACATTTTTTGTGCAGAAGCAGACAAAGTGCACTAGGTTAGATGTCAGACAACTTGGGCCACATATCTAGTTCTGATTTTCATTAGGTCTTTTATCCAGCCACCTAACCATTTCTGAACCCCTTTCTCCAACTTTCATTTAAGACTGTTGAACTAGACTTACTACTATTTCTTTGCAGCATTAAAATTTTCTGTGTTATTCCAAAAGGAAGTAGATATTAATAGGTAAGCTGCTGGTATCCATGGTTTATTGCCAAAACTCAGGCAGAGAATCTTTTCTCACAGCATGGCACTTAAACATGCTGCCTCTTTTCTTTTTTTATTTTTTAAAATCTCCCAGCAATCCATTCCTATTTATGTGCATATTTTCTGTTCAAGACATGTACACAATGAACGTAGATCACCACATGCCTTTATAACAAAAAGCTATATTCAAGGCTTTCTCACATTCAGAAGCTCTTCCCCATTTCCCTCTGGTAACCCAGCTATCAGAGCTTTTGCCAGAGCACACCTAAAAATCTCACTCAAATTTTCCATTTGAAGATTAATTAGTTGGCAGTCTGGGTTATCAAGAGCAGGCTGTTTGAGGTTTTGCAACCAAATGA